ACAATCACTATGCTTATCTATTCTGAAGCCGCACCATGTGGTCTTCCTCTGCGGCTTCTGTGTGCAGGTAAAAGCCGACAATGGCCTGAAATGCCTGGGAGATGACTTCACCCATAGACTTACTATGGGGCATCTGTTGTCGGCTACCCCTCCTCTACACAGAAGCCGCCACTGACAGCTGATACTGGGACCAACCAGAGCAGCTTCAGAATTAATAAGAACAGGGAACTATTCTTTACAGGGTTAGATAGAATAGGTTAAGTATGGGGGTGAGAGTACGTTTAGCCTTAGTTAGCTTTTGACTGAAATTTCACTTTAATGGTCACAAATATGTATGATTATGTGGTGATCCTGAAGGAGGTACTTACTAAGATTTATTCCAGGTGAATAATGGTAAAAAATTACTGGTGTGTGCCCATCAAGCTGCTTGTGAATGGCTGTTGGCCGATATGGGTTTCCAACGGAACATGACATTGAGTGGCACTGTCAAGAACCTGGCTTCAATTATTGTATTAGAATTCGCATATGTTTTTGAAGAATTTGTATCTAAATTATGTTATTGTTATTATCTTTTTATTTAACCTCCCTGGCGGTATTCCCGAGTGTAGCTCGGGGTAAAATGTCAGTACCAAAAGCGGTATCCCAGAGCTACACTCAGGCTTACCATGCGGCGTTGCACAGGGAGTCCCTGCAGAGCTTACCTTGTCCTGCGCTCCCGCGATGTGTCCCCTGCAGCGTCCCCGGCCATCTCCTCCAGCCAATGCCGGCATCTGGCTTCCGTGTTCCGGTCCCTGTGACGTCGGGACGTACGGGCGCCGGAACCGGCGGCAAATTTGAAAAATTTAAAAAAAATGACTTTTTTTTTTAAAATGATTATTTCATAGCAAAACATTCCTGTATCAAAGCATTTCACATCCATTTTGTCCCTACTGCTTTGTCCTGCGCCCTGCCTGCATTTTGACTGTTCTTTCTGCCTGGAAACTTAGAAAAGTCCACGGCGTCCAAAAAGCGTCCCTTTAGGTCAAAATCGGTTTTAGACCGGCTAGAGAACAACGAATTGAGTGATAATGATTCATGGGGGAAATTCGTCATCAGACACTGAAAACGATTTTGCGACTTTGCTCAGCGATGTGCGAACTTGGCGCTATATTTCACATTTCAGTGTTTTTGGTTTGATTATATTATTGAATTAAAATTATTATTATATTATTATTTTTTATGAGTATTTATTAAATTATAATTTATGATTTCGTGTTTCAAGTTTTATCATACCCGGGATGTTTACTAGACTCTTGTTCAGACAGATTTCAGGGAGTTATTCCTAAATTACAGGCCTACAATAAAAAAATACATATTTCCATGCAAATAAATTGTACCGCTTTTGGTACAAAATTCCTGACATAATCATACTGCCAGGGTGGTTAATAAAAGTGGTGGCCATAATACTCCAATTTGTGTCATATTGTATTATTTGTGATGTTTAATGTGTTTGGTTCTGATGTTCAACATTCCTCCGCCCTCTCAACCCTACTCAGGTCTTGTTGATACACATTGTGAAGGCATGGTCCACTGTTCTCACTATCAGGGAGCCGACTCAGAGAATGATGAGCTGCTGAAGTGCCTACAGTAAAGAAAAACTCTGAAGCTGCCATGTTAGCATCCAAATAAAGTACTGGAGATAGACAATAACTTTACTTTTTCAAAATATTTTAAAACCTTTATGAACGAGGCAGCAAAAGAAGAGCTACGTTTACTTCCCCCTCCAGTCTCCTTTCTTCCATAGTGTCCATAAAAAAATAACAAGCAAACTTTACCACATAGGAAGTGGAGCATAAACATGGACATTTTACTAGGTAAGAAAAAAATTGTAGAAAATGTTTCAATTTTTGTCCGAATATCTTCCACAGCAGTAAATCAATCCTCAACTACACCATGCTGCCTTGCCATAATTTACAATCGTATCAGATGAATTTTTACTAATTAGTGACAATTTTTCCTTCTTGCTTCATTTTTCTTCTTACGAAAAAAAAAAAATTGCTTAGCATGACGCTTTTCATAAACCGTTTAATGTCTCTAGGCAGTAAAACACATGTGACAGGCGAAAAAACAGCCTGGCAGATTCAGCGATCAGTCACAATTCATCTTCATACTCATTTGATTTACGGTACGCAGGTGGAAAAGAAAAACATGTCAGATTTCTTATTTATTTTTTCGAATGCAGGAAAACTGCTGAGATGTTAGAAGAGTGCTACTTGCCCAAAGGCAAAGATGGTGGCCATTTTGTGCCATGGAGGGGACTGTTAAGCTTGTTGAATAAAGCAAAGAGCAATGGGCTTAGTGCAAGTGGAAAAAAAAAAGAACCAATCAGAACCATTCTTTTCAAATTAGTATGCAAATCTGTGCAATCAGCAAAGGCAAAATCCAATTAGAAGCAGCCAGCTATTCAGCAGTGCACACTTTTCAGAGGAGATCAGTATTAAAGTGTATGTTAACCCTAAATTTGTTGTTCAGCAAATCTGGTATCATGCCTCAAAGTATAAAGTGTTCTTAAAAGAGAGAAGTAAGTTTGTTTTTCTTTTTTTGAAAATCATACTTACCTAGATCGATGCAGCATTGGTCCGATGTTGTATTTGTCTCCCTCCAGCTCTAAGACTGAGAACCGAGAGATCAAAAACCATTGATTGCTCAGTTCTCAGTATTCCATGAGCAGAGAGCTGGTGACTGTGTTTGGACTTTTTTTTTTAACCCCCCTGTAACAAACTAGCTCATCAGAGCTGGAAGCGGAGTTCTTCTTTGTCTTGTCCTGTCTGTTATTTGAGGTATTCCTCAAATCGTTCCTCACATCCCCCTCTTTCCAGTCCTGAGAGGCAAATGTTATCTCCTGACAGATGGTGTGGGGTCAACCAGGTGAAGCATTCCTGGTGGTGCCAGCAGTCTGGGAAAACTGTCACCTTTCTCACCTACGTCTGATAAGGCAGCATTTCTCAGAGAGCTGGGAAGCATTGACCCAAAACGGCGTAAGCCCACACATTATCAAACTGACCAGAGTAATTGCACATTCCTCAGGTCAACCGTATGTTTCATGTCATGTATTATGAAGCTGTAGTTAATACAGAGTTTTCCCACTGACCACTCCCAAAACGTGTAGTCAGAGCCCCCCCCCCCCCCCCCTTTGAGAGGGACTTTTTAAGAAGAGACAAGTGAGTTAGAGCTTGACACACACAGAGATCTCCCAGCAACATCGTAACAAAAGGAGATCAAGAAATCACCCTGCTCTACAACTTGGATCTGCAAACCCAGCATATGGGCAAGTAACTTAAGTAATCTTCTTCCTAATTATCTCTTTGCTCTGTCTTTATATACATATATATATATTTTTATGACATCTCTTTGTAAATATTGTATTGCACCTGTTTTGACTCTTTTAGTAATAAATCTTTCTTTCTGAAAGTGTTAAACTGTTTCTAAGTGCTTACTTGCAATTCACGAATCCCTGCCTTTGAAGAGACACTACTGTTTGGTATATCTCTGTATAACAGGTCCGCGGGCCGTGCTATATAGATCAATATTTCAATCATTATAGTGTATATTTGATAACGGGAGTTCCCCAGTCTCCGACAAAAGTGGTGGTGGCAGTAGAGGGTTAGTTGCGTAATTAACCCGACCCAGTAACAAGCGCAGTTAGGCTGCAGGCACCGACTGTAGTCCATTAGCTGGGCAATCGCTGTGCTGGGTGCAGCTGAGTGTGGCCTTGTTACGCGCGTCACACCGCGGTTTTAGATCGGCCGGTCCTTCAGTCACGAGTTTGGTGAGAAGGTCTGGGGTCTCACGTATTACTGTTAGTCACGGTTGTGCGATTGTCGCATGTTGGTGGCGGCGATCGTGGATCCGTGCCACCCCCCTTTCTTTTTAAAAAAAGCTAAAAAACGCTAAAAACACAAACGTGGAAAAACGCAGGAAAAAGCCACTAATCGCGGCAAAACTCCGCTAAACGCTAATGCAAAAATGCTAAAAAAAAGCTGAAAAACTCACGTTTTTAACATGACTTTACACAGCTAACGTTACCAGCGTTATCAAAACGTCCCGTGTGCATGAGGGCTTACTTTTGCTGGGCAAATGATTTGCAATATTTAATACAAGATTGGAGTTCTGCTTTAATCTGTTTTAGTCTGTCCCTTGCCGATATTCCTGTGCTCACAGTAGTTCTTGCCATTCTGGCTCAGTGAAGTCAGGAATGTCAGCCTACCATTGTTGAAAATAATTGCATGTTAAGATTGTTAAGATATAATTTGATTAGTAAAACATTAAAGCGATTAGGCTGTCATGTAGGCCATCAGGAAGGTGCACATGGGAGCGGCAATTCACTGCCATCAAAAGAGCCCTAATTATACTTGTTTCCAGCATTGTTATAAAAATAGTCTTTAGATGCACACAGCTGAAAAATACATGGAAGCCTCACTCCACTAATAATGTGTGTCCTTACAGTGTAGGGACTGTCTAACCTGCCACAGTACCAACAGCGAGAGATTTGGAATAGGGATGAGTGGTGTGATTTGGGCTTTAAAAAAATACCTTTTTTTAAAGGGGGGGGGGGGGGGGGTAAACCTTATTTAGGGTAGATTAGATTATTTTCCTCTAGTTTTCTATGAAACAGTGTATTTTTCCACTTTTTTGTTTACTTGCTGTTGCTTTAAAAGATATAAAACAATTTTTAATCAATTTTTTTATTACGAGAAAAAATCCAGGAAAGTTAAAGGCAAAACCTCTAACCCTCAGGTGCCATATAAAGCTCATGTCACCTTCTAGGCCAGTGTTTCTCAACCTTTTTTCAGTCAAGGCACCCTTTAAAATTGTAGACAGTCTCGAGGCCCCCTTTAAAATATGGGCAGTCATGAGTCACCCTTTAAAATTATGGGCAGTCTTGAGGCACCCTTAAAGTTATGGATCCTGAGGTACCCTTGAAATTATGGACAGTCCCGAGGCAACCTTTAAAAAATTATGGACAGTCTTGAGGCACCCTTTAAAATTATGGACAGTCCTGAGGCACCCTTTAAAATTATGGACAGTCTTGAGGCACCCTTTAAAATTATGGACAGTCTTGAGGCACCCTTTAAAATTATGGACAGTCCTGAGGCACCCTTTAAAATTATGGACAGTCTTGAGGCACCCTTAAAATTATGGGCAGTCTTGAGGCACCCTTAAAGTTATGGATCCTGAGGTACCCTTTAAAATTATGGACAGTCATGAGGCACCCTTTAAAATTATGGGCAGTCTTGAGGCATCCTTAAAGTTATGGATCCTGAGGCACACTTTAAAATTATGAACAGTCCCGAGGCACCCTTTAATATTATGAACAGTCCCCAGGCACCCTTTAAAATTGTGGACAGTCCTGATGCACCCTTTAAAATTGTGGACAGTCCTGAGGCACCCTTAAAATTATGGACAGTCTTGAGGCACCCTTTAAAATTATGGACAGTCGTGAGGCACCTTTTAAAATTATGGACAGTCGTGAGACACCCTTTAAAATTGAGGACAGTCTTGAGGCACCCTTTAAAATTATGGACAGTCCTGAAGCACCCTTTAAAATTATGGGCAGTCTTGAGGCACCCTTAAAGTTATGGATCCTGAGGTACCCTTTAAAATTATGAACAGTCCCCAAGGCACCCTTTAAAATTGTGGACAGTCCTGATGCACCCTTTAAAATTGTGGATAGTCCTGAGGCACCCTTTAAAATTATGGACAGTCCAGAGGCACCCTTTAAAATTATGGACAGTCCTGAGGCACCCTTTAAAATTATGGACAGTCCTGAGGCACCCTTTAAAATTATGGACAGTCTTGAGGCAACCTTTAAAATTATGGACAGTCTTGAGGCACCCTTTAAAATTATGGGCAGTCTTGAGGCACCCTTTAAAATTATGGGCAGTCTTGAGGCACCCTTTAAAATAATGGACAGTCCTGAGGCACCCTTTAAAATTATGGACAGTCTTGAGGCACCCTTTAAAATTATGGACAGTCCTGAGGCACCCTTTAAAATCATGGACAGTCTTGAGGCACCCTTTAAAATTATGGACAGTCCTGAGGCACCCTTTAAAATTATGGACAGTCTTGAGGCACCCCAATCTACAATGGGAAAAAACTATTCTAATAATTTTATATATCGCAGCAACAATACACACCACATGTAGGACACCCAACATTAGAGGTGATTTATTCTTCCAAAGCAAATACACTTTTGCACACTGGTACTGACTAGTATTCCAATGTTTCTCTTCTTCCTCAGTTTTTCTCCATCACTGAGCTAATGTGACCCCAGCACTGATGGAGAGGGGCAGGGGAGGGTCAAACTAGGATGCTGTGGAGGCAACTGACATCCTCCTTATCAACTGATGATGTCATTGTTTGTCAGGACGCTGGCAGCTAGAAGGTCGTAATAGTGCATAATGAAAACCTGTGGCTTTGTGTAACTAAAAGGCAGTCTTGTTCCACCCACTGGCTTGTATACAAGTTTTGGGCAATTTTTAGACATTTTGCCAAGGCACCCCTGAAGAAACCTCAAGGCACCCCAGGGTGAGAAAGGCTGTTCTAGACCACCAAAACCACCTTAACCAATTCAGTTCTCGTACCTCTATACCCTTTATGGACATTAAATTTCCACTTTGGGTATGTTTATTCGGCGATAACTTTGTCATTGCTTAATCACTTGCCCTCCAGAGGATTTACCCCCCTTCCTGACCAGGCTCTGCGTTACTTTAACTGACAACTGCGCGATCATGCAACACTGCAAAATGTATTCTGCTACATGTCTTTGCTAAAAAAAATCCCAATACGCATAAATTAATTGGTTTACGTGAACATTATACTGTGCGGGCAGCACAGTGGCTAAATGGTTAGCACTTCCGCCTGGCAGTACTGGGGTCATTGGTTTGAATCCAAGCCACGGCACCACCTGCCTGGAGTTTGCATGTTCTCCCTGTGACTGCGTGGGTACTCTAGTTTTCTCCCACACACCAAAGACATGCTGGTAGGTTAATTGGCTCCTGTCTAAATTATCCCTAGTATCTGTATGTATGAATGTGAGTTAGGGACTTTAGATTGTACACCCCTTGAGGATTAGGGACTGATGTGAATATACAATATATATGTAAAGCGCTGCGTAAATTGATGGCGCTATATAAGTACCTGAAATAAATAGTGTCTACATATGGCGGTATATATACTGAATTTTGTTTTTTTTACTAGTAATGGTGGGGATCAGCAACTTATTATGGGACTGACACTGGAAGCAACTGACTTGGTGTCACGGACATCCCCAGTGACACAATACAGTGATCAGTGCTAATAAAAAGCTATGCAGAGCCATACAAAGCAGTGTGCAAGAGCTGACATGGACATGGGAGAGATCTGTATTGTTTACATACAGATCTCTCCCCTGTCAGAAAATCCTCAGAGATCGCCGGGTGCCAGCGGGTAATCACCAGTGATTGACAGCTGAGGCCGTGAATGGCAGTGCAGGTAGAGTGCATGCGCGGCTCGTGTGCGCCCCCTACCTGAACTGCAAAATCATGTATATATACACACGTGATTTTGCGCACCCATGCCGGCCTGTAGCAGTATTTCTACTATAGGGCGGCCCAGACACGGCTGAGATAGCAAAGTAATACGTACACTTTTTGAGAACAAACTAGACTTTCTTCTGGGAAAGTTCTCTATATTTTCTTATGGAATCCACAGATAGAAACCATATTCAAAGTGCAACATGTAACATGCTATGATTGGATCGGCCCCTGCATACCCCCCCCACATTCCCCATTGTGACAGCTAGTGGGGATCTTCTTCTCCTGCTACCTGTCACAATTAAACAAAACAGTAGTCTGTGTATGGGAAAACTACAAGTCCCAGCAGCTTTTGCAGCTGTGGGCTTGTAGTTTTCAATGAACTACCACAACGCTTCACAGCACCGTTTTAGGTCATTGAGCCTTCCTGTCAGTAAGTATCTGCTTGCCTGTACGGGATGTATGAGCAAGCAGATATACTGACAGGTCATGGGAGATCTGATGGTGCAATGCTTTAGAGACTCCACAAACAAAAAATAATAAATGCGCATTTTTTTACCTGCAAAAAATGTGCATTTTTTATTTTTTGTTAAAAGGTAAACTTATCCTTTAAAAACAGTAGTTTGCACATTTTATTCTAAATCTGTCCCATTTAAAGTGACATTAAAATGAAAAAATATTTTGGTACAAACAATGGCAAAATTTAAGGAAAAAAATGCTTGTTTTTCAATACATTAAAAAAAGCATACAAAAATAAAACAAAAGTTAATATTATTGGTAATATTAGCATAAAAAGTAATAGCTAATGGGAGGAAGGACCAGAGGCGGACTGACAACTCATGGGGCCCCCGGGCAATAGGGGATCATGAGGCCCCTGTGTCCTTGCCCAAACTCAAAAAAGCCTATGAAAAAGGTACCAGGGGCATCTCATGGGGCCCCCTACTGACCCCGGGCCCTGAGTTTCCAAATGGTCAGTCCGCCCCTGGGAAGGAGTTAAAGTGATTGTTAACCCTTCACCTTGTTAAACAACCCATTCAGTTTAAAACAGAAATTAAATGTAAAACATTTGTGTATAGATATAAGAAACAGTATAAATATTGTTTTCCCCTTTTAAGTGATCACATTCCCTCTGTTTTCAGCAGCTTAAGACCTAGGAGGAAAAACAGCAGTACACTGATCTTCCCAGTGAATGGTTGTGCGGGGGGGGGGGGGGGAAGAGTCAGGACAAGTCTGATGATTGGAGGAGAGCAGGCTTCCAGGACAGAAAAAGTCTGAAGAACAGCTAGAAGACTGACCAGGCTGTGCTCCCATACATAGTGTGGTCAGTTTTTCAATAGGAAAGCAGAGAGACTGGCAGGAACAGTAGGGATTTCACATAAAGGAAGCAATACAAAGAGAACAGGAGACTTTTTTCATACAAGTACATGGTACAGCAGGCACATATCAGGAATAGGAAATGTTGGGTTTACATATTCTTTAATTATGGCTAATTAGGCTCAGAGAATATGTGAACCCTCACCTTGTAAAACAACTTATTCAGTTCAAAATAGAAATGCACGTCAAAACATTTGTGTAAATATTAAAAAAAATACTTTTATCCTTTATTATATATACTGTATATGATTTCATGCCCTCTGTTCTCAGCCGCATAGGGAGCTTAGAGAGGTGGGGGTGGAGACTGCAGGGAAGTGTGTCATCAGGAGGCAGAAAAACAGCAGCATACTGATCTTCCCAGTGAAGAGCTCTGCAGGAGGGGTGTCAGCACAAGTCTGACCACTGCAGTACAGGCAGGCTGTGCAGCCAAGAAGAATGCAAAGAAGAAAGCTGACCACACTAGGATGGATGTGCTTCCTGAATTGGCATGACCAGCATGAAATAGGAAAGCAGAGGAAATGGAAGGATCACCAAGTATTTCACACATAGGAAGCAATACAAAGAGAACAGAATACATTTTCAAGTACATGGTAGAGCAGGCACCTATCAGGAATAGGAAATGCCAGGGTAACATACACTTTAAATGAAGTCTAACATGGTTAAACAAGAATACATTTTATTCCAACAGATAGCAAATATAACAACAAGAAGAAAAAAAGCAATACATTGTTACCCTGTATTTACTCAATGACAATTGCAGACCGGCATTTTACACAAGAGTGGATGCATTTTGATGATCACTCCTACTGTGTAATACAAAGCAATTTCACAACCAGTGACTTCTGCTAATAGCGGCAGGGGGAGGGGTGACAGGGTGACAGGAGCTGTATGAAGGAGAACTTTGATGACATTTTTTAGGTTGTATCTGATATCCTTAAAATCTTCAAGTGGTTAACCCCCCTGGCGGTATTCCCGAGTGTAGCTCGGGGTAAAGTTTCAGTACCAAAAGCGGTAAACCCCGAGCTACACTTGGGCTTACCATGCGGCGTTGCTCAGGGATTCCCAGCAGCGCTTACCTTGTCCTTCGCTCCCGCGATGTGTCCCCTGCAGCGTCCCCGGCCATCTCCTCCGGGCCGATGCTAGCATCCGGCTTCCGTGTTCCGGTCCCTGTGACTTTGGGATGTACGGGTGCCGGAACGGTGGCAAATTTGAAAATTTTAAAAAATTACATTTTTTTAAAAACAATTATTTCATAGCAAAACATTGCTGTTTCAAAGCATTTCACATACATTTTGTCCCGAGTGCTTTGTCCTGCGCCCTGCCTGCATTTTGACTGTGACTGTTCTTTCTGCCTGGAAACTTAGAAAAGTCCATGGCGTCCAAAAAGCGTCCCTTTAGGTCAAAATCGGTTTTAGACCGGCTAGAGAACAGCGATAGTAAATCAGAACCACTTGAAGAATTGAGTGATAATGATTCGTGGGGGAAATTCGTCATCAGACACTGAAAACGATTTTGCGACTTTGCTCAGTGATGTGCGAACTTGACGCTGTATTTCAAATTTCAATGTTTTTGGTTTGATTATATTATTGAATTAAATGTATTATTATTATATTATTATTTTTTATGAGTATTTATTAAATTATAATTTATGATTTTGTGTTTCAGGTTTTATCATACCCGGGATGTTTACTAGACTCTTGTTCGGACAGATTTCAGTGAGTTATTCCTAAATATTACAGCCTACAAAAAAAAACCAACATATTTCCATGCAAAAAAATGTATCGCTTTCAGCACAAAAAAATCTGAAATAATTATACCGTTACGGAGGTTAAAGTGTTACTAAACCCCGGACCCTGCATTCACTATATCCGGTCTCCCAGGACCCTGCATTCACTATATCTGGTCTCCACGGACCCTGCATTCACTATATCTGGTCTCCCAGGACCCTGCATTCACTATATCCGGTCTCCCAGGACCCTGCATTCACTATATCTGGTCTCCACGGACCCTGCATTCACTATATCCGGTCTCCCAGGACCCTGCATTCACTATATCTGGTCTCCACGGACCCTGCATTCACTATATCTGGTCTCCCAGGACCCTGCATTCACTATATCTGGTCTCCCCGGACCCTGCATTCACTATATCTGGTCTCCCCGGACCCTGTCTGGTCTCCCAGGACCCTG